GCCATCAAGAAACCAATGAAGGCTGAGGACATGATTGGTAATGGGCAGGATTCATGATGTACTAGGTTTAAATGGCACATAATCGAGAGTCATAGAGTAAAAACAGATGAGTATTTGTAAGCTTTATAAATAAGCTTTTGTGCTGTTCAATTGCAGTCTTATATTTCAGAAGCAACTATTTACTGGAGCAAGAAACTAAGTTATTTCTACCTGATTCCAAAACTTAGCACAGGAATTTAGAAATGTGCTTCACCACAGAATCTCTAGCACTGGGAAAGTAGACAGTGTTTAATTTTGAATTATTCACCACAGGAGGGGGAAAGTATGTTGGCCAACTCTCAGCAATGATGATAAGAAACTGAAAGATAGTAACGTTCTTGTTAAGTAGGGCTTTATCCCTGAGTGGTTAGGGAGGTCCTATTGCAATGGATTCCTTAGTGTTTGCACAGTTATGAATTGAAGCTAATGAGTGAAGAAAGGAAAAAGTTGTGGTTTTTTTTTGTTTTTTTTTTGTTTTTTTTTTGTTTTTTTTAGGTGAAGATATAAAAAATGGTGGGCAACAGCAACAAAATAGCACACTACCTAAATTTTATTTGATAATTATTTAAAACTTTGTCATGACATAATTTCTATTTCCAAAAATTGTAAAGTCTCTTTTGTTAAATTAAGAAGACCAGATGCATGTTGTAACAAAGGCTAAATAATAAAGGGTAGCTAAAAAATTGCAGGTGGTCTGATGTGGAAACTCATTTTTAAATCCCATCCTGAATAAAAAAAGTTCTATTGAAGTCTGAGATCATGAAACGATTTATGAAGAAATGTCCAAGAGAAAATCAAGTCAAACAAACATAACTATTTATCTGACAGATCAATGCCCTTGAAGAAAAAGTGATTTGTTCTCAGATATAATAAAGGAAGACTGAAAGGATGATAACATTTAAGAAAAAGATCTAGGAGAGAACCGGATCTCAAAATTTTGAGCCTAGTTTCTGGCTCTCTGTTATTATAGGACTATTCTTTTCATTCACTTTCAATTTTCTTTTCTTTTTTTTTTTTTTTTTCAGAAAATGCTCAAGTCTGTATTATATTTGAGACTGGTTAGTGTAGATACAAGGTCAGGCACTTAAGTTTCTAGCTTGTCCTAGAAAAAGTGCTATTTACCTCATTGATGAATGTCATGCTCTTCACCTCCAAAGTACTCCGCTTGGGAAGTTATGCACCAAAGTTCGCGCCTAGTCCAAAGCAGTTCTTCTTGATAAGTTTGTGAACTTAATTGTCCAATAAGTTGTGGGTAGTTGTCCTAATCTTCTTAGTATAGTATAGTATAGTAGATTAGGTAAAAGAAAGTCCTTCTTGGATTAATGCTTTCAAATGCTATGCTCTGTTTTATTTTATTTCTAAGGTCTCATCTCACAAACTTCTAAAACTGTATTCTATTTCTTCTACTATTTGCATTAATATGAGGTTCATTACAATGTGAGTGAGTTGAAGACAAAGTGTATTAAGTTATTTTTTGATAACTTTTTCTAGATTATGAAATTCTTGATGAGGTATAAAAGTTTAAGCCTTAAACATTTTATTTAATTTATGGAAAAATACTGTAAGGATCTGAATAGAGGTTTGACCCTAGCTAAACCTTTTAAAATTTGATATGGAGTTATTTTGAAGGTCTGTCTCTAATATCTTGAATATTAAACCTTATTTATATAGTCTGGGTACCAGAACAGAAATATCAGGTTCTCTTTGGGGTAATTTTGATCTATTCAGCAGCCTGAAAGTTCTGACTCAATTCTTAGGTAGCTGAAATTAAATAATGTGCTCATTCTAGATTTTAAAATGCCTCCTGCCATGTATATTGAGACTTCTTTGTTCAATGTGTTAATGTGTGCAAGAATTCTGCTGTTCTTGATGAAATATATGCTGAGAAATGACCATATTCTGGGGTTTAAATCTGCAACCTTGTAAAAGGCAAACATATGCTACAGCTAAATTTGTATTAATTTTAAATATCTTAAAAAGAAATTGCAAAGTCTGATGAAAATAACCATATTGTGTAGATAAGTATTGTAAATAGAGAACATAAATCATAGCAATGAATTTAAGACTGTACGTTTCTCTGAGGGATCTTTTGGATTATCCATGTGGGTGAAAACACCTTATGGAAATACTATCAATTATATGTTCTCCTCCATGACAGTAATAGAGTGATTTTTTTTCCTAAGTTTATATTATCCTGGAAAGGTCTCCATTAAAAAAAAGGTTGCACAGAAGTGGTACTAACATCTCATTCTGAATTTCCTAAGAAAGGTCTTAGGTGGCTGCATATGATTAAATTATGTTTCCTAATGAAGTCCAGTTAAGGTGGGATGCATTATTCTTTTTTCTCATATATTTCCATATTTATTAAAAAATTTATTTGTTAATATTTTGCTTAGAATTTTTGCAAATATATTTAAAAGGGTCTAATTTTTATTTCTTTTTTTTTGAGACAGAGCCTCAAGCTGTTGCCCTGGGTAGAGTGCTGTGGCATCACAGCTCACAGCAACCTCCAACTCCTGGGCTCAGGCAAGTCTCCCGCCTCTGCCTCCCAAGTAGCTGGGACTACAGGCGCCTGCCACAATGCCCAGCTATTTTTTTGGTTGTAGCCATCATTGTTGTTTGGCAGGCCAGGGCTGGATTCGAACCAGACAGCTCAGGTGTATGTGGCTGCGCCTTAGCCACTTGAGCCATAGGTGCTGAGCCTAATTTTTATTTCTTGTTAACATTCTTGTCAGTTTTTTTTTTTATTGAAGTCATATTTGATTCATTATATTGCTTGAGAGCATATTCTCTTTTTCTACTTTGTGGCAGCATCTGAAAAATTCATTTTTTTTCTTAGTTTTGCACACTTCTTATTATCATGTCTAGTTTCACTTATATTTATTTATTTGGGGATTTAGAGGGAATGTTTAGTCTGTTTCTTGATATAAATCAACATACTTTTGAAAATTCTTGGCCAATATTTTTTCAAATGGCTTTTGCCCCATCATCTCTCTTTCCTGCTCTTAAGATTACAAATTATATGAAATACATGAATATTATAGTTTGTACCGTGTTTCATTTGTTTCTGAAACCATTGTTTTATCTCAATTTTTAGTCTGATTATTCTCTATTAATTTATTGTCAGACCCCTATGTTTTTCTTCAACTGCATCCAATCTTGTTATCAAGATCTTAAGTTAAATTATTATTTTTTAATTTATATATTATTTTTTATATAACTTGAAATCTATGTTAAAAACATATTAATAAAATTGATTTTCATGTCTATTAAGTACTAATTCTGAACCACATATTAAAAGATAATTGTGGTACCTGAAGATTATTTTTATTGCCTAATTTTCTCTTTGGGTCCTTTTTCCCTTTCCCAGACATTATATACAGGATGTCATAGAATCTGGATAAAATATATTTTTTTAATGAGAATTTCTTTTATTGTTTGCTGGGACTTCAATTACAAGATCACCTTAATGCAAGTAGAGAGTTTCGGTCTGTGTATTATCTTGTTTATATCCAATGCTCCATACTCCTAGGATATAGTCACTCAGGGAGGCCCACTGGTATCCTGTCCATTTTCTAGAACCTCTTATACTTGCTGTTCCTGAAATTCAGATGTCTGACTTTTAAATTCTGTATAATTTTGCTGTTTCCTCTGAGTTATTTCGTGTTGTGGATTGCTACTCCTAATCCAGTGAAGTCCTCGAGGGGGGCAGTTTTATGGAATAACAGTCATAACTGAACTTTTCTACTTTATGGCTCTGGCTTCCCCTCTCATGTTACCTTTAGAGCCTTTAATTCCAGTATCTATTTTCTCCCCCAAACCGAATGAGTGGAACTACCAGAAGTTCTGTTTAATTCTCACATAAAGTTGAGCTTCTCAGGCCCTCACTTTATGGGGGAATGAAAGAAAAAACAGAGAAGAATGTTGAGTTGACTTTAATGACTTTATCTTTGTTCTAGCATGTTGTTCATTTAACTCTTAATTACCTTAGTAGATATTACTGAATTTAAAGTTATTTTGATATTATATGTAACTTTTTTTCTGGTATTCTTGGTGATAGATTTAGTTAGCTAAAAATTATTACATTGAAATTAGATATAGACTTCTCCCTATTGTTATTTATCATAAAATAAGTAATTTTATTATTTTTAAGTATCTAATTCATATTTAATTTCAAATTCTTTAATAACTTACCATTACAAAATTCATTGGGTCTGCTGGGCTATCTCATGTTATCTCTAATTATATCAATAGTCTTCTTTTTTGATGGAATATGACATTTTTTAGTCTTTCTGTGAAACTATATGATGTTAATAGATACAGTAGTCAAATGTAAGTACAAAGGACTTTTCAAAATCATAGTTTTGTGTGTACATATATGATTAAAATTTTCACAAGTACTGATTCAATACATTCATTGCAGTATTTTTGTTTAATTACTGAATACAGAACGTGAAACTCAGCAGTTTAATTTCACATTTAACTGTTAATATTTTTTTGCCAGCCATGCTTCATAGTTTTTCATAATTAAAGCTACCTATGTCTATAAAGCAACTTTCAGTATAACATCCCAATAATAACTACTTAGAATAATATAATTTATTAATATACCTAGTTTAAAATTAATTAGCTATGAAATGTTAATTTCATTCATTTGAGATTGAGGATAATAAATAATTTGTCTCTGTGACTTTTTCAGGTTTACTAACTTAATTTCCTAAAAAATACAAAGAACCTGTCTAAACATCTTTAGAATAATCAAAGACAATTTTTCATTTATTAAATGTTCTTATAGGAAATCTAACTCAAAATGGCTTTTTCAAAGTTGCTTTATTGAACTTGAATTAAAAATCCTAAAAATGAGGACAGATACATTGATTTTCCCTAAAAATTCTAAAAAAAAAGTGTATTATTCTGGATAACTGGCTTTTGATAAAACATTTTCCCCCCATGGTTTATAGGCTGTCAGCAACCAGCAATTCCATGACACCTCAAAGTGACTTGGACTCCAGTAGCTCTGAGGAATTCTATCAAGCCATTCACCATGCTGAGCAAACCTTCAGAAAGATGGAAAGTTACTTGAAGCAACAGCAGCTCTGTGATGTTATCCTGATTGTTGGGAACCGAAAGATACCTGCACATAGGTACAGTAGTCTGTATTTATTGGAAATATCCATTCATATGGTTAACATAGGTATGGTAATCTGTAGTTATTGGAAATATTCCTTCATGTGGTTAACATAGGTATGGTAGTCTGTAGTTATTGGAAATATTCATTCATATGGTTAACATAGGAACAGTAGTCTGTATTTATTGGAAATATCTATTCATAAGGTTAACATAGGTACGGTAGTCTGTATTTTTTGGAAATATCCATTAATATGGTTAACATAGGTATGGTAGTCTGTAGTTATTGGAAATATTCCTTCATATGGTTAACATAGGTACGGTAGTCTATATTTATTGGAAATATTCATTCATATGGTTAAAAGTGATAGACTGGTGTGCAGATGGAAGAGCATTTTATGGTTGTGGAAATAAGGATCTATATTTTAAGAGACTTTTGTTTTCACTCATTATTTTTCTTTTTTGAAAAGAGTTAAAATGTCATTTTGGTCAGTGAATTTTCTTTTTAAGATATAAAACAATAACGAATGGTGCCAATGTGAACTTCTTGTAAGTAGGGTGACTACTATGGGGGAAAATATTCATTTTGTACGACTTATAATCATGCTATGTGGAAATCAGTCATAACTTAAGAAATGTGCCTAAAATATGAAAATAAATATGCTATTCTGTTAAAAATTAAATGTATTAATGAAATCAGATTATTTTGCATATATAGTATTTGTTTCTCTGAGGGAATTGTAGGTACTTCATACTGACACCAGCTTTAAATGCTTTGCATTTATAAGCTCACTTTGTTTGGAATAAAAAGGAAATTCTTATTTTCTTCATTTTTTACTAAACTAATTCACTCAATATTTGATGGAATTACAATTCAAACCCAGGCAATCTAGATACAGAAGTCAGGCCTTTAACAAATTCAATAGACTGACTTTCATAATTAGATAGAAAAGTTGCTTTAAATTTTAACAGTTTTAGAAAAGGTACAAAATGTGCATTTTGGCACTACAAAATTAGTTAATAATCTTAGATTATTAGTTAATACAGACATGGAATGAGGACTATGTGAACATAAAATGATGAGCTCAGCAACATTTTGAAGAATGATGTCATCATTCAGGTTCTCTAGTCAGGATCTGAACCTGGAATCAGCTGAGCATGATCTATTTAAAGACTATCCTCAGAATCAAGAGAAGCAAAGTAGGGCAGAAGAAGAAATAAATCAAGGATAGAGCCTTAGTTCATCTATATCGCCCAAGAAGCTCTGGAACAAGACTTTTTACAAATTTAGTCACACCCCGAAGAAAGGGCAGCAGGTTATAACCTGATTCTATCTTTATTGTCATTGGATCCACCTGTAGGTTGAGAGTTGTGGCATTTGGAGGATGGAGTGAGGGAATCAGGAACCCGTGAACTCCCAGGAAGTAAGGCAGCTCGTATTGGGCCAAATGAAGTTCTTCAAAATAGAAACATCTTGTTGCTATTAGGAGTGAACTTCACTGCCTGTGGGCATATGGGTATGCTTATAAAGAGAAAAACAATGCATTCTAGTACAAATGGAAAGATGGCTTTTATGTTATATTTGATATAGGTAATGAAGTAGAAAGGAGACATATGATAATTGCATCATTTCTACTCTAGAAGTTCAATATATTGGCAGGGCACCAATTAATAACAGGGAAGAGTAGTTGAAAGAAAATCTCATCGGGAAAACATGGAATTTCATGTAGACATAGTGACATTCTATTGGGGCATCTGATGAGCAGTTCCAGGGGCACTTGAGATCTAAGGTTACATTCGAAATCACCCTACTGTTAATGATGAGGCAATGCTTCAGAATTATGCTGAACCAGCAAGTGTTAAGGCAATATTTAGAGGCCTGAACAGAACCTATGGCAATGAGAGGATTAAGAAGAAGGAGCAGGAAGAGAAGTCAATGAATCAGAGGTGAGCTGAGATAAGAAGGTTTGCAATGCTTTAGCGAAAACATGGATTTAGAAAAGGAATGGGAGGTTAACAGTGTCAAACACCACAATAAATAGAAATGGAACTTAGAAAGGTTTAATAGATTTGGAAGGAAATAGATTTGTAGGGACCTCAATAAGAGATTTCCCAGAGTGGTTGCATGCACACACTTATATATACAATTTTTGCACCTGCTTATCTCGCATTAATAGAAGCTAAGGATGCACACATAAAGATATTAATTTCTGTTATGCATTAAATCTGTCTTCTAAAATCTAATTCAAATTTTATGTGTCATTAACTCTAGATGCAAAATAAATGTTTTATGCTTCTCTGGCTGAGTCAGCATTATTTAGTATGTTACAGTTGATAGAGAAGATTTCATGTAATTATTGAAAATTGAATAATATAGGTCACATGATATTTTGCTCTATGGTAATTTGGTCCTGCTGTCAGTACAGACATTTATGTGTAAGATCAAACTGGTTAACTTTATGTCAACATATGTCTTAAACCAAAACATATATATCCCTAGTTCTTTATAGTTTATGTTTGTATCTGGAAATGTTGTATTTAGTGCTTCTGACAAAACAAATCATTTGACATTGATGTATCCAATTAGTATGTAATGAATACTTGAAAATATCTGTGTCGTAATCGTTTTGCCAAACTTTGAGAATACAAAGAGTTGGTATGCTAGTTACTAACTGCCCAAATTAAACAAATAAAACATTTTACATATTTCTAACATGCTAATATCTTCAGAATTAATATTAAGAAAACATTCAAAATTATGAATTTTACATGCATAAGGCACTTTTGAAATGCATACATTATACATAGTTAACAAATATTTTCAGTTAAAATAAAACATATTTTTGTTGAATTACAAAATTTCACCATGCCCTTCCACTTATATGATACAGACAATAAAATAAATATCAGATAAAACGTCACAAGAAATAAGTAAAAATAATACCCTTTTGGTTAGAAAATTAGAAAAACTTCTAGACAACAAGGTTCAATATGTACTGGAACAGAACACGTAAGGAAAAACGTGGTTTTCTTTCTTTTTCCTTACAGAGTTCTTAGAGGGAAAAAAGTGCCTTCAAAGTTTACTATTCTTTCGCATATAGATGGAAACATCACATATGGTTCTTCTGGCATCTCTCCTCAGCTCTGGGCACTGTCTCACTTTCTGGAACAAAAGGTTTTCCAGGCTTATTTTAGGTGTACCTTCCAGCATTGCAGTCTGTTCTTTTTCCCAGTTGCCTGTAGTATACATACATGCACACACACACACATACACAAGTGCAAATCATAAATATTTCTGTTTTTAATGTTACTAACAAAGATATATTAATAATTTATATATTAAAGATATATTAATATCTCCAATTTCAATATGGCAATCCAGTGTCATAGTTTTTCTCAAATCTTTTCCCATTTCATATATGGGCAGACTTTAGAGTTATGGCAGGTTCTGTTCCAGACCACCTGAATGAATATTACACGTTAGCTAGTTACAGATTGTTTTGTTTTGCCTGTACTTATAAAAGTTTTATTTATACTATCCTATAGTCTGTTAAACTACAGTACCATCATGCAATTATGCATGCATGCATGTGTGCATACAAGAATTAAAAAATGCTTTATTTCTAAAAAATGCTGATGATCATGGGTGGTGCCTGTTGCTCAAAGTAGTAGGGTGCTGGCCCCATATACTGGAGGTGGTAGATTCAAACCCAGCCTCGACCAAAAACTGCACACACACACACACACACACACACACACACACAAATGCTGAACACTCAGAGAGCTGTAATCTTTGTGTAGTGTTGCTTCAGTGTTGATGAGTGCTGACTTATCAGGGTAGTAGTTATTGAAAAAAGGCACTAATGAAGTTTACTACATCAGCTGATGCTCATTCAAGATTCAAAGACTTTTCTGTATCGCTCAATGCTATTTGATAGCATTTCACTTGCAGTAGAACTTCTTTCAAAATTTAAGCAAATTCTCTCTTCATCCCTGCCGCCTTTCTATCTACAAAGTTATGCAATATTCTAAATCCTTCTTGTTGTTTCAACAATATTTCAAACATTTTCATTAGAAGGAGAGTCCACCTAAGAAACCACTTTCTTTGCTCTTTATAAGAAGCAACTCCTCATCCATTCGTATGATCATGAGATTCCAGCCTTTTTACCTTTTTAGACTCCACTTCTAATTCTCTTGCTATGTCCACCACATTTCCAGTTACTTACCCAACTGAAGGCTTGAACCCCTCAAAGTCATACATAAAAATTGGAATCAACTCTTCCTCCAAATTCCTCTTAATGTTGATATTTTGACCTCCTTCCATAAATTGTAATTATTCTTAATGACATTAAGAATTGCAAATCTTTTCCAGAAGGTTTTCAGTTTACTTCATCCAGATCCATCAAAACAATCGCCATCTATGTCAGTTATAGACTTAGAAATGTATTTCTAGCTGGGCACATTGAGTATAATATGCCTGTAATCCTAGAATTCTGGGAGGCCGAGGAGGAAGGATCTCCTGAGCTCAAGAGTTTGAGACCAGACTAAGCAAAAGTGAGATCCCATCTCTACTAAAAATAGAAAACTAACAGAGCATTGCTGTGGGCACCTGTAGTCTCCACTATTCAGAAGGCTAAGGCAAGTGGATCACTTGAGCCCAAGAGTTTGAGGTTGCTGTGAGCTATGATGCGATAGCACTCTATGCAGTGAACAGAGTGAAACTCTGCTTCAAAGAAAAAAAAAAAAGTATTTCTTTTGGGCTGTAGGACAGAGGGGTTGGTAGGCTTGAAAACAAATTAAATAATAGTAACGTCCCTGTACAGGATGGACATAAATTTAGTGTGAAATTTCTATGTTAAGCAATTTTAAATTGCACACAAACTTTATATCCACCCTGTGTATTTCCAGCACAGATCTTAGTTGATGGCTCCATTGTCAGTGAATAGGAATAACTTGCAAGGCGTCCTTTTCTTTTTTTCTTTTTCTTTCTTTCTTTTTTTTTTTTTTTTTTTTTGAGCAGTAGGGCTTAAGGTAGTAAACCAGGCTGTAACCAAACATGTATCATCCAGGCTTTGTTGTCCTGTGTATCAAACACAGGGAGAGTAGATTTTGCATAATCACTAAGTGCTCTAGGATTTTCAGAGTTGTAATGAAGAATACTGAAAGAGATTTGAGAAAATTCAAGTCAGCAGAAATTACCTAAAGTAGAACACAGAGTAAAATAAACATTCTTGATTTTCAAACAATATATATAACCTGAGTCCTAGAAAGTGTCAGAGAATTGGCACTTATAAAGTGAGGAATTTTTTGAGATAATTTTCAAAGTTTGATGTAAAAAGATCCATCTATTTCTCCAAGAAGCTCAGAAAATTGTAAGTTGAGTATATTAAGTAAATAAGTAAATGCCTACCTGGGTATATTATACTCAACAATTAAAATCTTGAGATAGAAAAAATTAAAAATGATTGAGATAAAGGAAATATTACATTAGGAAAGGAATTGTAGAAATGAAAGTTAACTTTCTATCAAAAATAAATGTCTACATGATAATAAAATTGTATTTTTCAAGTCCCCAAAGGAAAAAAATAACTTCCCTCTAATACGTGAAAACAACTTGTATAAGACATTTTATATGCATTGAAGTAAATATATTTTCAGAGAAGTGAAAGCGGGGTGGGTATTTTCCCCTCAGACCTGTAAAAGGATTAATAAGGAAATGTCTTCCAGTAATGATACCAGGTGAAAGCCCACCTCTTCAGAAATGAATGAAGAGTCCAAAAAAAGAAACAGGGATAAACATAAAAAACCCTTGTGTTGCATATATGTTCTTCTTTTAGACTCCTGATTGAGCAGAAGGGGATAAGTGGAGTTACTCTGTTGTAAGTTTCTGACAGTGTCCAAGAGGTAGTATTATTTTATTTGATGATAAACTTACTGGCTAAAGTCATCTCTACAC